TATCATTAACTTCACTACTCATCCAAAATTTAAATTCCTTCAGGGATTCCCCAGAATTTTCTCCTGGAAGGTTTTTTTATCTAGAACATCTAATAAAACTGGTTTTAATGCCTCAAGGAGATTTTGGAGAAAAGGAGGCTGATCTTGTAGTCCCTAGGAAAATGGTAAAGGTACTTGCCTGCTAACGTAAAGGTTGGATACTTGAGTCAAGCCACAGGTGCCACTGAGGAAAGGTCTGGCAACCTACCTCTGAAAATCAGTCAGGGAAAATCTTACAGAGCACAGAGCTTCTCTGACACACCTGGAACTGCCAGGAGTCAAAGCAGGCATGAGCTGAAGTCCCTTTAATGGCAGCAGGTTTGTGGCCTCGGGGCATGGTTTTATAAGCAAAGTATAATGTTCTTCAGGACACACAGGTAGGTCTCCAGTAGGATTTTGCACATACACATTTTATGAAAAGTTTATCCATAAGAAACATGAATTCATACATTTGAGAAACAAGATGTGATAGATTCAAAGAGCCTATCTATTCAAAGTCAGACCAGAGTAGTGAAGCAAGGTTTTATAAATTGACTTTTCTATGTAGTAATATGACAAAATATAAATACTATCAACCATGCAGCTTCTGCCTTGAGATCCCAAAATGTTTTCTCTACATTTGTCACTGTCACTATTTAATATCAGTTTCTTACATTTGATTCCTAACTCAGAACGATCATCCAAAAGGTGGACTAGTCGTCTTCTTATGGACACTGTTGGCTCCCTGTGGGGGGATGGAAGATGTTGCAAATTATCTGAGGTGTCACTTCCAGGAAAGATGTCTGCAGTTGACATTTTTCAATATCCGTGTGTGATGGATGCACTGTCTTCAGCCAGAAGACAAGGGTTCCTTGCTTAAACAAAAGAGATAAACTTTTGCAGAATTTGAATATGCCGAGCCTCTCTGATATTTGAAGACAGAAATCTCACAGCTTCTGTGCTGTCTATCTTGCCTATCTATTAAACAGAACCATCTTATCTGTTAGGGTCTCAGAATGGTTTTCACCATCTCCTTCTTGGGGATGTAGGATCTCACACATTAGATGCCATAATGTCGGACAAAGAAGAGGACTGAAGTGAAAAATCATCTTACAAAACTGGCCTCTTTCAGTGTTTGGGGCCAAAGAATAAAACAATTCACAAGTTTATGATTCCCACTCAGAGAGGAGAGGACCACATCAGAAGAGGAGGTGTTAAATTTCTGTCACTGCCTCCTATATGCAGGAAAAACTGTAAAAGCTGGAAACTACCTGAAAGAACCCTGTCAGAGAAGGAAAACTCACTGCTTGTTGTCATTTTGGCTGCCTGAGTGTGAGTTCCTACTCACAGCAGCCCTGCGTCTAATAGAACAAAACACACTTGGTCCTGCGCCATCCTCACACATGTTAGAGCCCGCTGCAGCAGCCACTGTGTCAATCCATACCATTGAAGGCCTGCCTCTTCTACAAGGCTTGTGTAAGCGGGGGGGATTCTAAATACTAAGAGAGAAGTGGAGACACCCTGTCAAAGGCTGGAACCATGGGCGACCTGGGAAAACAAGGTAGTCTCATCAGGTTCCACCGCGCACTGGGGTCCTGTGTGAGCATTCAGTGTTATGTTGGACGTGGGACACAGTTAAAAGTGCAATGCTGAAGAAAAAGCCTCTGAGGGTCGGTGCATTCATATGTCTGGATCCCAAATTCACAAGTTCGCAGCTTCACAGTACTGGATATAAAATGCTTCTAATTGTCATAATATAGACTATGTTTCTGTTACCATTTAAATCAGCCGAGGACTGCCCAGGACACATGCAAGGTGCTCTAATCCCACAGAGAGTTGATGGCAATGGACTCCACCTGGCAATGATGGAGTTGATGGCAATGGACTCCAATCTTTTCGTGTAATTAAGCCTGCAGGCATCATTCTATTATTAAGGACTGGAAAGCTGGTCAGTGGAATAAAACCAAATGCTGCTTAGTAGAATACTAACAGGCAGAACGTTTATAAACCAAGTTATTCAACTGAGAAATCCTTTTTGAGAAATATTAGTATTCAGGAAACAGAGTGCCCTCCTCAGCACATTTGCTCTTGTTATATCCTCTCCTGGGACTATTTCCCCCATAGTTACCTAGATGGTCAACCTCTTCACTCATTAAAGTCCCAATCCAACCTCACATTTTCTGATGAAGCTTATTGCATCTACTAAGCAGAGCCCTGGTGGCGTAGCAGTTATGCTTGGGCTGACAGCCTTAAAATCAGCAGTTCAAAACCAGCAGACACTCCTTGGGAGACAGATGGGGCTTTCTACTCCCATAAAGAGTTTATAGTCACAGAAACTCACGGTGGGCAGTTCTACCCCATCCTATAAGGTTGCTGTAAGTCAGCATTGACATAGTGACAATGAGTGTGGCATGGTTTGGTGATAATCCCTACAACACCATCTAGGAAAAAAAGCTACCCTTATTTTCTCTAGTTTCTTTTCTTGTGCACAGCACATTCTCAAAATACATTGTTTACTTATTAGATTTACTTGGTATGAAAACCACGCTCTTCTCTTTTGTTGAGTCTCTTGCTTATCCATAATCAAGATAAATTCATACATACCAAAAACAAGAAGTGATGGATTTAAAACTGGAATGAGCTTAATGGCATTCAATAAGAACATCACAAATATTGACATTTCCACTAAAATGAAAGCTGAAGAAGGCCAGGGAACTTTGCCAATTTTGTTTGCTGACGTGCCTGAACGATTAGCATATGGTACTTAGCATACAGTAATAACTCAACAAATATTTGTTAAATGAAGATTGTAGCTCCAAGAGCAAAGAGAGTTGAAAGGTAAAAGAAAAATAATTATTGTAAGAGAGTTGAAAAAATATCATATGAAGAGTTAAGAGAAATGCATATTTTTTCCTTGCTGGAAAAAAAATTGAGTCAATCAAAATTTCCTGATGCAGGGGGACCAATCAGGCTGAAGTTTGAGAAAGAAGAAAGGCACTTTTGTTTCTTCACATGTTGTTTCTATGTCTCTTGTTCACAAGGAATTTTCACCACAGATGGCAACGTAGAAACAAAAGTTAATACACAGCCTTTATGCTTCCCTGTGGTAAAGTACATCCCCCAGTTTCCGCCATATGAGAACGCCAGTTAAACTTGATGCTGTTATTGTCATTTATGCATTTCCAAGACTCCTCCGTCCTACACATCCTCTGTGTGGCTTCTGTGGTGGTTGTTGGTATTATGGTTTGAGTGTCAACATCAGCAACGGTTTCAGACTGGAGGGTCAATTCATATGAAAAATTGGCAATCTCTGTTCTCAGCTGTTAGAGTCAAATCAAATGAAACTCAATAGGGAAACTTCATTTTGAAAATGTCTTAAATTAATACCATTTCATATTATTTTATTGGGAAAAATTATGATTTACATGACTACCTGTGTATGAACATAGAGTCACTTTTTTTGTTGTAAGTGATTAACACACTCAGTTGATAAATAAGAGGATGGTCATTTGGGTCTGCCCAGAGGGCCTCAATAAAAAGGGCTGGCTAGATACTTCAAAATAATCAGACATGAAGTCTTGGTGGAGCAGCTCTGCCCTGAGATACACGAGGTTATCCTGAGTCAGAATCAATTGACAAAAGAAACTTGCTTCTCTAACCAACACCAACACCCCGAATGCACACCTCATCTCAGGTCAAACAAACAGCCAGGCTACAGTTCATCCATAGTTGTCTAGTTCTCGGCCTGGCCCCCTCATGAGCTAAAAACCCAAAGGAAAATGTACAGGAAGCTTTTTCAGGAGCTTTTTAAGCAAGCAAAGAAAAAGGGGGCTTCAAAAAGTTTGTGGAAAATTGGAATTTAAAATAACATTGTGAAGCCTCCTAGTATAAAAAAATCAAGATATTAAAATATAGCTACTAAGCTATATGATATCACTTTTTTCTAACAATGTCTATCTACCCAGAGACTCTAGAAAAAGGCATTTCCACTGAATGATGAAGAAATTTGGAAACAGAACTGGCTGAGAATAAGGGCTCTGCTACTCATTAGCTATAAAAACATAGAACATATTGAAGCTTTGTACACATTAATTGCCTTATTTGCAAAATGAGGTTGCTGCAAATGGCTTTTTAGTTTGTTATAATTATTAAGTGAGACATGTCAGGGAGTAATGAGTAACAGTACTTAAGAAGTGCCAGGTGATGTATAAAATAAGATTTGCTCATAGAAGAGGAACTTAAGGCATGAGACATTATTCAACTTGCCAAAATTTACATTGTTTCAGAGAAACAGGCTCTCAATCCACTCTTCATCCTTTATCCTACAATACCTAATAGGGAACTGTGTTTGCCTGGGTAGACTAGAGAAACACATTCACAGACATCCATATGTGTATATGAAAGCACTTTATATAAAGAGTAATAGTATATTAAGAAACTATCCCAGGCCAGTCCAGATCAAGTGCATACGTCTGATATTAGCCCATATGTAGGATACCAGTGTGCAAATTCCTCTTCAGACTCACACAACACATATAATGATGCAGACTGCAGGAATATCACAGGCCTGTGGGTGGAAGTCTTGTGGATCTAGTGGCAGTGGAAGCATCTCAGTGCTGGTGTGGGTCTCCATGTGGCTCCTCCAGCTCCAGGGCTCTGGTTCTGTCAGTGTAGCTCCATGTGGCTTGTCAACAGGAATGTTTTGCGGGAAAAGGAAGCAGAGAGAGACTGTGTCTGGCCTCCAGTGAGCTATTTATCTCTATTACATCTCCAAAATGAGGTCAGCCAGCTGCGACCTGATTGACAGACTAAACTCCACCCCTTTACTCTTAATAGTCTCAAATTGACACCAGATTATGTAACTACCACAGGAACTTTGTACTGAGAAAAGATTAAATAAAGGGATTTTGCATCTCATACTTCCCTTTCACTACACCAAATATATGTGATATCAAATACTCACACCAAAGAATGCACAATACCTGGGACAGTGCTGCAAAAGTTCTCCCTGGACAATGCAGGCCTCTTTCTCGAGAAGTTCAGGGCACTCCTTTCCACCTCCAATAGCAAGGTGCTTCACATTGCGGCTCCTACTCCTGAAGCCAGGAGAGAGACTCCCAGAATGACAGGTCTTAGAGCAAGGGCTCCAGGAGGACCACTCGGTGGTTTCACAGTCTTTTGGCATGAGGCAGGATTGAACAGTCAGAGGGAAGGAGTCTTGCATGCACAGGCTGATGAAACAGAAGCAGAAAACAGGAGGCCATGTATTAGAAGAAAAATTGATATCTGCTTTAAGTTTCCAAATTTAAAACATAAAAGAAAAATAGGAAAATTCAGACCAACTCAGAGAAACCCTTTGTGGGACAGAGTAACTCCTAGGGTTTTCTGTGGTAGATTTTCCAAGAGAATATCATCAAGTCTCTCATCTGAGACATCTCTGGATGGATTGGGGCTTAAACTTTTTGATTATCAGCTAAGGATTTAAAGATTTATATTACCCCAAGGGACATCTAAAATTCCAAATAGGAGGATCTTTAAAATGCTAAAGGCATCATGATAAAATACTGGAAAGCATAATATTTTACAACCACTCATCATTCAGTTTGTCATACTGTGTGGCTTGTGTCTTTCGGAAGCTATGTCACTGGTATGTCAAATACCAGCAGGGTCACCCAACGTGAACAGGCTTCAGCAGAGCTTCCAGACTCTGAACAGAATATGACAAAGGACTTGACTGTCAACTTCTGAGGAATCAGCCAATGAAAATCGTATGGCTAGCACTGAGATATTGTCAGATACCTAAACCGCATGAAGAGAAGAAGCAGAGACTGTCAGAGAGGGTGCTCGAAGAGGAGCCCCTCAGGCATTCACGCTGACCTTAATGACATGGATGGAGTAAATTAGCCTTCAGCACCTTCATCTGCTGACGGGGCATGACTCAAAGTAAACAGAAATAGCTGTGAACATAAATGAAACATCTGAGCTTGGAATGTCTGAATATAAGAATATAAGAAACAGACGTTGTCAAAACATGAAATGGAAGACATAAAGAGTAAGCTGAAATGAACTGGCAATGACCATTAGAAATCAGCCAATCACGTGGTTTTCTATGCCAGGGATGACACCGTCAAGAGGAACAGCTTTGCATTCATCACCAAAAAGGACATTTCAAAATCTACCTTGAAGCACAATGCTGTCCAAATACAAGGAAATCTAGTCAATACAAGTTTTGTTTAAATGTATACACCACCAACAAAAGCTCATGATAAAGAAATTTTAAAATTCTAGCAACATCTTGACTCTGAAGTTAATCAAACATGCCATCAAGATGTATTGATAATTATTGGCAGTTGGAATGTAAATGCTGGAAACAAAGATGAAGGACTATTAGATGGAAAAGTTGGTTTGGGTGATAGAAAAGAAGTCAGAGGTCATATAATAGAAATATGGAAGACCAACAACTTCTTAATGGCAAATACCTTTTCCAACAACACACAATGAGACTATACATGTGGGCTTATCCAGATGGAATACCCAGAAGGCAGATTGACTATGTCTGTGGGCAGAGATGATGGAGAAGGTCAACATCAGCAGCTGAAACTGGCCAGGGATCCACGATGGAACGGACAATCAATTGCTCATATGGAAGCTCAAGTTGAAGCTCAAGAAAATTAGAGCAAGACCACAAGAACCAAAATGTCTCCTTGAGTCTATCCTACGTGAATGTCAAGAACATCTCAGGAACAGATTTGATGCATTGAACGCTGACGACAGAAGACCTGATGAGCTGCAGGAGGACATCCAAATCTTCATGCATGAGGAAAGCAACAGGTCGTTAAAAAGATAGGAAAGGCTTCCCCCTGCAGGTTGGCCGCCGCGTGCACACGCCAGCGAGGGCCGAGGAGAGAAGAAACAAAGTTCCCAGC